TAGTAATTGTAATTGTAATTGTAATAGTAATAGTAATAGTAATTGTAATAGTAATAGTAAAAGTAATAGTAATAGTAATAGTTATAGTAATAGTAATAGTAATAGTAATTGTAATAGTAATAGTAATAGTAATTGTAATAGTAATAGTAATAGTAATAGTAATAGTAATAGTAATTGTAATTGTAATAGTAATAGTAATTGTAATTGTAATTGTAATTGTAATAGTAATTGTAATAGTAATAGTAATTGTAATAGTAATAGTAATAGTAATTGTAATAGTAATAGTAATAGTAATAGTAATAGTAATAGTAATAGTAATAGTAATAGTAATAGTAATAGTAATAGTAATAGTATTAGTAATAGTAATAGTAATAGTAATAGTAATAGTAATAGTAATAGTAATAGTAATAGTAATAGTAATTGTAATTGTAATTGTAATTGTAATTGTAATAGTAATAGTAATTGTAATAGTAATAGTAATAGTAATTGTAATAGTAATAGTAATAGTAATAGTAATAGTAATTGTAATAGTAATAGTAATAGTAATAGTAATAGTAATAGTAATAGTAATAGTAGTAGTAATAGTAATAGTAATAGTAATAGTAATAGTAATAGTAATAGTAATAGTAATAGTAATTGTAATTGTAATTGTAATTGTAATAGTAATAGTAATTGTAATTGTAATAGTAATTGTAATTGTAATAGTAATAGTAATTGTAATTGTAATAGTAATAGTAATAGTAATAGTAATTGTAATAGTAATAGTAATAGTAATAGTAATAGTAATAGTAATAGTTATAGTAATAGTAATAGTAATAGTAATAGTAATAGTAATAGTAATAGTAATAGTAATAGTAATAGTAATAGTAATAGTAATAGTAATAGTAATAGTAATAGTAATAGTAATAGTAATAGTAATAGTAATAGTAATTGTAATTGTAATAGCAATTGTAATAGTAATAGTAATAGTAATAGTAATAGTAATAGTAATAGTAATAGTAATAGTAATAGTAATAGTAATAGTAATAGTAATTGTAATTGTAATAGTAATAGTAATTGTAATTGTAATAGTAATAGTAATAGTAATAGTATTAGTATTAGTATTAGTAATTGTAATAGTAATTGTAATAGTAATAGTAATAGTAATAGTAATAGTAATAGTAATAGTAATTGTAATTGTAATTGTAATTGTAATAGTAATTGTAATTGTAATTGTAATAGTAATAGTAATAGTAATAGTAATAGTAATAGTAATAGTATTAGTATTAGTAATTGTAATAGTAATTGTAATAGTAATAGTAATAGTAATAGTAATTGTAATAGTAATAGTAATTGTAATAGTAATTGTAATAGTAATAGTAATAGTAATAGTAATTGTAATAGTAATAGTAATAGTAATAGTAATAGTAATTGTAATAGTAATAGTAATAGTAATAGTAATAGTAATAGTAATAGTAATAGTAATTGTAATAGTAATAGTAATAGTAATACAAAGTAATGGTAATGGTAATGCAAAGTAATGGTAATAGTAATAATGTATTTCGTAATAAAAGTATGTTTAATCTTAATTAAATTGGCAACTACTATCTCTTGGTATTGTGTAAGTCAAAGGAATGAGATATTGTCATCAAAGACCAATAGTAGTAATAGTAATAGTAATAGTAATAGTAATTGTAATAGTAATAGTAATAGTAATAGTAATAGTAATAGTAATTGTAATATTAATAGTAATAGTAATAGTAATAGTAATAGTAATAGTAATAGTAATAGTAATAGTAATAGTAATAGTAATAGTAATAGTAATAGTAATAGTAATAATAATTGTAATTGTAATTGTAATTGTAATAGTAATAGTAATAGTAATAGTAATTGTAATAGTAATAGTAATTGTAATTGTAATAGTAATAGTAATAGTAATAGTAATTGTAATAGTAATTGTAATAGTAATAGTAATACTAATAGTAACAGTAATAGTAATAGTAATTGTAATAGTAATAGTAATAGTAATAGTAATAGTAATAGTAATTGTAATATTAATAGTAATAGTAATAGTAATAGTAATAGTAATAGTAATAGTAATAGTAATAGTAATAGTAATAGTAATAGTAATAGTAATAGTAATAGTAATAGTAATAGTAATAATAATTGTAATTGTAATTGTAATTGTAATAGTAATAGTAATTGTAATTGTAATTGTAATAGTAATAGTAATAGTATTAGTATTAGTATTAGTATTAGTATTAGTATTAGTAATTGTAATAGTAATTGTAATAGTAATAGTAATAGTAATAGTAATAGTAATTGTAATAGTAATAGTAATTGTAATTGTAATAGTAATAGTTATAGTAATAGTAATTGTAATAGTAATAGTAATACTAATAGTAACAGTAATAGTAATTGTAATAGTAATAGTAATAGTAATAGTAATTGTAATTGTAATTGTAATAGTAATAGTAATAGTAATAGTAATAGTAATAGTAATAGTAATTGTAATAGTAATTGTAATTGTAATTGTAATTGTAATAGTAATAGTAATAGTAATTGTAATAGTAATTGTAATAGTAATAGTAATACTAATAGTAACAGTAATAGTAATAGTAATTGTAATAGTAATAGTAATAGTAATAGTAATAGTAATAGTAATAGTAATTGTAATATTAATAGTAATAGTAATAGTAATAGTAATAGTAATAGTAATAGTAATAGTAATAGTAATAGTAATAGTAATAGTAATAGTAATAGTAATAATAATTGTAATTGTAATTGTAATTGTAATAGTAATAGTAATTGTAATTGTAATTGTAATAGTAATAGTAATAGTATTAGTATTAGTATTAGTATTAGTATTAGTATTAGTAATTGTAATAGTAATTGTAATAGTAATAGTAATAGTAATAGTAATAGTAATTGTAATAGTAATAGTAATTGTAATAGTAATAGTAATAGTAATAGTAATAGTAATAGTAATAGTATTAGTATTAGTATTAGTATTAGTAATTGTAATAGTAATTGTAATAGTAATAGTAATAGTAATAGTAATAGTAATAGTAATTGTAATAGTTATAGTAATTGTAATTGTAATAGTAATAGTTATAGTAATAGTAATTGTAATAGTAATAGTAATACTAATAGTAACAGTAATAGTAATTGTAATAGTAATAGTAATAGTAATAGTAATTGTAATTGTAATTGTAATAGTAATAGTAATAGTAATAGTAATAGTAATTGTAATAGTAATTGTAATAGTAATAGTAATTGTAATTGTAATAGTAATAGTAATAGTAATAGTAATTGTAATAGTAATTGTAATAGTAATAGTAATACTAATAGTAACAGTAATAGTAATTGTAATAGTAATAGTAATAGTAATAGTAATAGTAATAGTAATAGTAATAGTAATAGTAATAGTAATTGTAATAGTAATAGTAATAGTAATAGTAATAGTTATAGTAATAGTAATAGTAATTGTAATTGTAATTGTAATAGTAATAGTAATAGTAATTGTAATTGTAATTGTAATAGTAATAGTAATAGTAATAGTAATAGTAATAGTAATAGTATTAGTATTAGTAATTGTAATAGTAATTGTAATAGTAATAGTAATAGTAATAGTAATTGTAATAGTAATAGTAATTGTAATAGTAATTGTAATAGTAATAGTAATAGTAATTGTAATAGTAATAGTAATAGTAATAGTAATAGTAATTGTAATAGTAATAGTAATAGTAATAGTAATAGTAATAGTAATAGTAATAGTAATTGTAATAGTAATAGTAATAGTAATACAAAGTAATGGTAATGGTAATGCAAAGTAATGGTTATAGTAATAATGTATTTCGTAATAAAAGTATGTTTAATCTTAATTAAATTGGCAACTACTATCTCTTGGTATTGTGTAAGTCAAAGGAATGAGATATTGTCATCAAAGACCAATAGTAGTAATAGTAATAGTAATAGTAATAGTAATAGTAATAGTAATAGTAATAGTAATAGTAATAGTAATAGTAATAGTAATTGTAATAGTAATAGTAATAGTAATTGTAATTGTAATTGTAATAGTAATAGTAATAATAATAGTAATTGTAATTGTAATAGTAATAGTAATAGTAATAGTATTAGTATTAGTATTAGTAATAGTTATAGTGATAGTAATAGTAATGCAAAGTAATGGTAATGGTAATGCAAAGTAATGGTAATAGTAATAATGTATTTCGTAATAAAAGTATGTTTAATCTTAATTAAATTGGCAACTACTATCTCTTGGTATTGTGTAAGTCAAAGGAATGAGATATTGTCATCAAAGACCAAAGACGTAAAGAAGAAGCATTTCACAGGCCACCAAGCCCTCTTAATTTCATTTGGGTGTATTGGAATTAAATTCCTTTCGACAGCGTTTAATTTGCGTATACGTTCATTCGTGAATATTTTAATGAATATAATTAATCCGATTGATTTTGTTTGCACATTAAGACCGAACAAACAAATCGGAATTATAGATGCACTCAAAGCAGTGAAATATAATTTGTAAGGTAAATAGCTAAGGCAAATATTCTCGGTAGTTATTTTTAGTCCCAATGCATATTAATGATCACTAACGAGGTATTAATTCTTTTTTTATTAGAAAGAAATGTTTCTAATGAGACAACAATTATCTGGATAATACAAACTTAACGAACAAGAATTAAAAACGAATCTTTAACAATCTTTTCATAGCACCACAAACTGCAGAATAAATTCCTAAATCGCAATATTCTCTTTGCCGCGATTGGTACATACTATGCAACCAAGAATGCACGGCAAATTGTTTTACAGATACTAAAATATTCAATTATCTTAGTTTTTGTTTTGAGAACTCAAAACAAAAACTTTCGCGTGTAAAGATTAATTTTTTGTAACAATTTTAACCATTAAAAGTAAAAGGGCTTAGTTTACTCAAAACGGTCAATATTCTTTAATTTTTGATCCAAGTTTAAATTATTTAATGTATGTTATTATTGTACCTGCGTTTCGTCTTTCTGCCACAGCAGGATTAATTGTCTCGGCCACCAGCACCAGTACAAGAAGGACTATGGAAGTCGAGTGGTTATGACTATGCCGCATTATAGAGAACTTGGTCGTTGAGACTCAAGTGCTTACTTAAAGCTGTTCAGGGTTCACATGGCTATGCAAAAAGTGTGAACTATGCAGAAATAACCTGAAAATACATATAAATAGATTAAATCGGTCTTACGTGATTTTTATAACAGACTTCTTTAATAATACGAGGTGTGTTCAGAAAATATCGGGAATTTTCGTTTTTTGAAACAAACAATTATTTATTTGTCTACATTAATGTTGTCGCCTTCAAAACAGTCCCCATTGAATATTATGCACATGTGTAAGCTCTTCTTCCAATACTCGAAACACTTCTAAAACTCGATCTTTGGGATAGCCTTCTTTCAGCGATGCGCTTTTAATGTCATCTATGCTTGCAAAACGACGGCCCTTTAAGGTTCTCTTTATTTTTGGGAATAGGAAAAAGTCAGACAGAGGCATGTCTGGCGAATATGGAGGCTGGGGCATCATTACAGTATTGTTTTTGGCAAAAAATTTTGTTCAAAATTTAACAATTTTAGAACAAATTTTGCTGCCACGTGTTTCATACCCAAAACATTCGAAAAATTTTTATGGGATGAGCCAATCGATATACAACATCATCAGCGACTTCTCTGATGGTTTATAACCATTTCTTCCACTTTTCCATGTTTTTATCGGTTGTTAATGTGCTTGTTCGTCAGCTTCAACGTCTTCACGGCCATCTTGGAAACTCTTATACCACTTGTAAACTCTTGTTTTACTTATAGCAGACTTACTATAGGCCTTTGTTAACATTTCACAGAATTTATTTCATTTTTTAAGCAAAATTGGATACAAATTCTTTGATCCATTTCTTTTAACGAACGAAAAATCGCCGAGCTCATAAAACACGTCTAACCTTAGCGGCTGCCACAGACAAAGTAAACAATGAAAACAGCTAAAGTTTTTATCATACTTCGGGGGCATGTATACCAACATAATAAAGAAAATTTTATGACAACCGGACCCTCCGAACCCGCGAAATTTAACAATTCCCGTTATTTTCTGAACAGAAAACCAATTAGTTGTATTTAACCGTTAGCATGGCTGTTTTATTTTCTCTGTGCGGCAGTTTGTCGCTAAATGTCATACCGACAAAGAAATATTTATTTTGAGTAAAATGCCAATTAATTTGAACAGAAATGAAAAAGACCAAGCATTGATGAATTGTTCAATCAAAACAATCGACGTACGCGTCAGGGGACATATAATCCTTGATGATAAACGTCAAGGGAGGCCATTCTGTTAAATGAAATATTTATTTTCCTTCAGTTGTTTTATACGCAACGAAATATCAACACATTAGAGCTTAGTATCAATAATGAATAAATACACTATTGGTATTGTAATTATACTACGAACAAAAAAAACCTGCAATTTTCTTAGTTTCTTCAAGAAACTTTGTTTACCCATTACTGTAAAGATTTAAAAAAAATTGAACCTTCACCTCGCCAGAGTTTTTGTTTTAAGTGCGTTCCACCAACTTCAAATACCGACAGACAGCTAGACAGATAGACCAATTTTGGGTCTTATCAATGTCGGGCAATTTGGTGCATTGGAACTCACCAAAAACGAAAGACACCTGAGCTTATATACTGTCCACCTAAGTCAACCGAGGCGAGATGTAAGAACATCACGTGATTGCCGCAATCGGTACATGCTATGCATTTTACATAACATTATAGCAAATCAAATTACAAACAACGTTTGTAAATCTGAGATGCTTTTTATTGGAAACTGTCGAACTGTTTAGTAAAATTACAATGCGTGTAGGATTTCAATTAGATCTACCAAACCTCACTTCTCTAAATTTCCATAGATATAAATGCATTTAAATCAATTTATTATTACAGCGAATCAGTTTTCATGATATGTGCAATGCATCTTCGTGACGTAAGCGGCTTACTGACTTTTGCATAGTTGGCTTTGTGAGACTTTGTTTCAAGATTTACATGAAATGTACTAGGTAGCTGCCCTTCCAAGTTTTGAACCAAGTTTAACAAAACTTTAAGCTATGAATTAATTGACAATGAAATAGAGCCATCAGATGATGGCAAATAGATTTATTTTAATTTTTTGCTAGAAAAAAAAATTCAAACCAATTAAACGAAATGTGGGACTACTTATTGCAAGCATTTATTAAACCAGCACAGGTATTTTAATAACAAAGCAAAAATTCCGTTTGTAAATGCTTTAAAAGGCTTTATGTTTCTCTAAAAACAGCTTCTCTTTTGAAAGAGAAATGTAAACAACACCCACAAATTATAATAAAATATGTGCAGCGAAAATAAAATTAAAACCTTACATGCGTATAAATTTCAAACGGAACCCATCAAACGAAAGCTTCTAAAATAATTTTGTGTAATATAAGCTCCTAATTATTGAGAAAAATATCTGTTTTCTGTACAAATACTATAAATACTTATTTATTCGTCTACATTAATGTTGTCGCCTTCAAAATAGTCCCCATTGGATATTATGCACATGTGCCAGCTCTTCTTCCAATACTCCAAACACTTATAAAACTCGATCTTTGGGATAGCCTTTAGTTCTTTCAGCGATGCGCTTTTAATGTCATCTATGCTTGCAAAACGACGGCTCTTTAAGGTTCTCTTTATTTTTGGGAATAGGAAAAAGTCAGACAGAGGCGTGTCTGGCGAATATGGAGGCTGGGGCATCATTACAGTATTGTTTTTGGCCAAAAACTTAACAATTTTAGAACAAATTTTTCTGTCACGCGTTTCATACCCAAAACATTCGAAAAAATTTCATGGGATGAGCCAATCGATATATCAACATCATCAGCGACTTCTCTGATGGTTTATAACCATTTCTTACACTTTTTTGTGCTTGTGCGTTCGGGGCGTTCGTCATCTTCAACGTCTTCACGGCCATCTTGGAAACTCTTATACCACTTGTAAACTCTTGTTTTACTTATAGCAGACTCACTATAGGCCTTTGTTAACATTTCACAGAATTTATTTCATTTTTTAAGCAAAATTGGATACCAATTCTTTGATCCATTTCTTTTAACGAACGAAAAATCGCCGAGCTCATAAAACACGTCTAACCTTAGCGTCTGCCACAGATAAAGTAAACAATGAAAACAGCTAAAGTTTTTATCATACTTCGGGGGCATATATACCAACATAATAAAGAAAATTTTTTGACAACCGGACCCTCCGAACCCGCGTAATTTAACAATTCCCGTTATTTTCTGAACACACCTCGTATTAAAATGTATTGAAAAATATATATTATTTTTGCTTTGGATGCACTGTTAAAAATGTTTGTAAAATTACTATAGTTTATGAACATTTCTTCTATAAAATTCTTTTTATAAACATCAAAACATTATTAAAAACTATACATTTTCCACTTTTCCACAATTAAAAAAAAGGCCGATTACGTCAAAGATTCTACAAAAATGGCGCAATATTTAAACTTTTTAGTGTTACTTATAAATAATTTTTAAAAAACACACAAAAAATATTTACCTTATATCCTGTATCTTCTTAAATAATCAATATAACTTCACAAATTTTATCTGGTACTTAAATTGAACAAAAAATACATCTACTAAACACAAAAGTGTGTGGTGGTAAAGTCGCGCCAGTGGCTTGTTTTGAGCGGCGGCTTTAACGGCAGGATTCCTGCTCGTCCTGCTAGCAGACAGAAGGCGACGTAACGACTGGCGCCCGCCGCCAGTCCTGCGCCTGTCCCGCCAACTTTGACGATGATTGTTTCGAGTATCCAACTTAACAACGTTTTTATTTGCAAGATTAAGGACAAGGATTAATACATCTGCCTGAATTGATTTCTTGCAGGAAAACAAAACAAGATTTGCATTTTTATGAATTGTACCTAATATTTATACAGGGTAAGTCTTTTAACTTGAAACTTAAGATAAGGGTGATTCTACAAAAGTTGGACAACAATTTTTCAATTTCACTACAAACTATAAAACATTAAATAATGTATTTTTCATATTTTATCATAGATTCGAAAAATAGCAATTTTTAAAAAATTAATAATCTTTGCACTCACTTTTACCCGTCAGTTCTGTGTCCAATGTTAAAATTCAAAATTCCTGCGAAATATTGAAGTTTAAACGTCAAGTCCTCGTTTTAACTCAAGTTTTGGTAAAAAAATTACCTACCGAGCCCGCCCTTTGCACGACAGTCATCTTAAAAACAATGCAAGCGGCGAATTTGTGGTGAATGCACGTATAGTTCCAGTCAAAATTTCAGTACTGTGGTGTAATTTATATAAGGCTATATGTGATTTGTTGATAAGTAGCATCCACTAATAAAAAATATCAGTAAAATACTTAATTCCGAATTATAATCTTAAATTTGTATCCCATTCATCAGTACCGTGTCGTCAGTTCCATGTTCGATGTTTCGGTTATCTTTTTTTCGCAAACTTTAATTTAAATTCTGCTTGCGCAGAACTTGTTTATTTAATGCCATTATAAACTCATATAAATTTGGTGTGGGTCCCATATCTAATAATTTAGATATCGGTGTGCCCAAAATCCACCAGCCGCCACTGATGTGTGGTATTATTTGATATAAAGATATTTAATGAAAGTTGCAATATATTTTCCAATAAATTAGTACCCTGGTATACTCGTCACTTCCCTTGCATTCAAATTTAGAAAACACAGATATTTCAGAAACTGTTTGAAAAAGTGACTGGCCCGGTCTGGAACAGTATTTATTATATTATCTATGTTCTCATAACAAAATACTGTTTAATTTTCTCTGTAAACTATATAAACAAAATGAATCAAATATTTCCAATGAAAATCATTTCCTAATTTTTGAACACCCTGTAGATAAAATCCCAAATTTGTTTACATCAATATTAAAAACAAAACATCTGTATATAAAGTGATAAAGGGCTTTATCTAAAGTAAATAAATAAAGTTATATTTGCTTTCAAAATTAACCACATAGTTTTTGTGCGCTGATAACATTTTTAGATATGATTCAGTAAACAAGCTGAAACGTTCGGGTTTTTATCGCGTATACCACGAGCTATCCATTGTGTTAAAAGAAAATTCGTTGATAATAAAG